CGAGAAAGACTTTCTGCAGCGGTCACTGAAATAATAGTGACATCAATGAATTAAATTTACATTTAATTAACTTACAAGATAACTTAATGGATTGAGAATACTGTATAAAGGTAACAGTAAAAGTTGTAAAAATGTATATTAACGAACAGTCTTTATTTTCATTTGAAACAGATTTTTTTTTTTATCTGATTTGTCAAAATGACAAGTGTGCATATTGATTGTATTGTTACAAATCAAATCCAAAAGCCCACTATAACTCATTATGTAGAAACCACAGCACCATTTTAAAATATCTATCTGTGAATATCTAGACACAGATGTTTGATACCATAGGTCAGAATAATTAAATCTTGACCATTTAACTTTCACTTGTTTATCAAAGGGTACAACTGTCAACTTTGCTCAAGTCAGTACACCCTTGCAATGCATAAAATGTAGCTTTACAATAAATATACATGTTTGAAAAGGATCTATAGATTGTTTATTATCATATATCAGATAAGTGAATTAGCGATCTGTGAAAATTCTTTATTGCCATGTTTTAGATATCTTAGATACACCGTATGGAGGTGCTCTTAATTGCAGGAAGCTAATACAGATAAGATGAATAGGTGTTCCGAATGAACAATAATTTAGCTTCCGAATATTCCTCCATAGACTATATTTCTAACTAATATATATGCGTGAACCCTCAGGGGTTCACGCAATAAGTTAATAAAATCAATACCTCTATTTATATATTTTCAGTTTATCGATACTAGGAAACAGCCTGTGATGAAAAAAGGCTGTAATAATACGGATGTATTCATACAACGGGCTAAAAAATGAAATTTTATCACACTCCTGAAAAATAGCATATAATTTACTTATTCGTATATGACCCAGTTAACATAATACTTGATGTCTACCATTATCTTTTAATATAGATAACAGATCAGCAAGTGTATAATTTATACGATGTTTAATACGTTGATTACGGTTTTTGCGTTTACCATGAGACCTATTATTTCTTAGTCGTTTATCGACAATATTAATGACATCGATAGCAGTTTTAGATATGTTCCCCTGTCCCAAATAATGTCTATTTAGTGTACATGTAACAGGTACGTACATGGATGATCTCGCGCCGAATTTTATGACATTTCTAAACAATTAGAGGTGTAATACCACCATTGATTTTCCCCTATTAGTCTTTGTTAAATTTACACTTTTCAAAAAAAATGTGCAGAATTTATCTCTGTTTCAAATAAAGAAATACTTGGCATGAGTAAAGTTTTATCCTGTCCAGTTATAAAGACAAAATTTCACATAACCAATCAAATTTTCACCCCTTTTTTTCCTGTGTACAAGCTTTAGTAACCATGTAACCTCAAGTTTCCAAAATATTCTATAGAAACACCAAATAAAAAAATAAGGGTGCTTTGAAACACCCAAGATATATGTTTATGACTCAGAAATTTTATACTGCAATGAAATGTAGGATTAATTTCCTACAACTGTATAATTTTTTCAACCCTTTTTCGTATGCAACCGGATGTGTCGTACTATGATTTGGTGGTACATGTATTACACCTAAAGAAGACTTTTTTGTTGAATAAACTGAATGTGATTTTTTTCCTTTGTAATACTGGTTATTTCAAGCATTACTGTCAAGTTTTGTCATAATCAGTTTAATAGTTTGAGAAAAATCTAGTATAATGTAAGACGACATCTACAGAGATTCGAACAAAATTTCTTCGAAAAATCCAAATCAAACCGCATCATGATAGAATATAGTGTGGACCAATAAATGATCAAATGTTTATCTCATCTGCCTACAAACAGTTGAATATGATACAAAAGATGACTCTAGGATGATAAATACCACTAATGGACCTCTTTGTCTTCATTATAAGGTCCCTTTTGGTCCATTTATACCTCTCATTTTCTCAAAATTTCAACTTTTTAGGCCAATAAATGAAAATTTTGGGGTATTTTTCACTCATTAATGAAAGAAATGTGATAATAAATGAGTAATTCAAGTATTCAAGCTGAATGAACTATCCATATAAAAGTTTACTGACTCCATGGAGGTTTCAATAAGTCTTTACGTAAAACTTAAATTTACGCCGCGTTCCAGAGATGGACATTTAAAGCTTCCCTTTTTGTGAATAATTTGTTGTTACTGCTTCAAAAATAATTTAATTTCTTATAACATATATATTTATTAAAGTATTACTTAGGAAAAAGTTTTCTATTATAGCAAAATATAAGAAATAAGGAGAAAAAGTCAGGAAAAGCTCCCCAAAACACTGAGTGTGGCTTGCTCTGTCTACTAATATTCATGGTAGAGTCCTATTTCAAGGCAATTTTCTCATAAAATGTGTTTTTGAGACTCAATCCACTCAGAATATTTCATTTTTGTAATATTTCACTTAAATAGCAAGAAATTTTAACAAATGAGAATACACACAAGGTCAAAGGTGCATGTGCAGCTTCATAAAATAGGTGTAATACCACCATCGATTTTCCCCTATTATTAGTCTTTGTTAAATTTGCACTTTTCAAAAAATTGTGCAGAATTTATCTTTGTTTCAAATAAAGAAATACTTGGCATGAGTAAAGTTTTATCCTGTCCAGTACTAAAGACAAAATTTCACATGACCATTCAAATTTTCACCCCCTTTTTTTCCTGTGTACAAGCTTTAGTAACCATGTAACCTCAAGTTTCCAAAATATTCTGTAGAAACACCAAATAAAAAAATAAGGGTGCTTTGAAACACCCAATTTTTTACTGCAATGAAATGTAGGAGTAATGTCCTACAAATGTCAAATTAAAGGGAATATTTTTTTTCAACCCTTTTTCGTATGCAACCGGATGTGACGTACTATGATTTGGTGGTATTACACACAGAGGCTTAGGAACTGCACATGAACATCGACAAAATCATATATATATAACTGTTATACTTTCTGAGATGTAGAAAATAAAAAAATCCGGAAAATATTAGTACAAATGTATAGAATACACGTAAGTATGGTAAAAAGTTCAGCAATTTTGACTTAAAATTTACATTTCTCGAAATCCGTTCCTACGAATTTTCTTTAAAAACGACATCTTATTACTACTGAAATTTCCGTTTTATTGATATAAAATTTAAAGGGGGTCACCGAATTTGTTTTTTTTAACATGAATAGTTGAATCTTCTGTGCAGCGTGGAAAAAGCACCGAAAAGGCAAAACTGATCGTGACGTCGTGGCTAGAAATCTTATTTTTTGACGTTTTTAGATACTACAGAGACACTTGAATGATTTATACATTTAAGACGAATTTGGTGACCCTTATCAATTAATTCGGTGACCCCTATCAATTTCATATCAATAAAACGGAAATTTTAGTGGAATTAACATATCAATTTAAAAAAAAAAATGTAGGACGCGTTTTTGAGAAAAGGCAATTTAAATTTTTCAATATTGTCTTCGATATTCACGCGCATTCTTAACATTTGTACATCTTCCTACTTAATATTCGGGTTGCTATATATCCGAAAGTATAAAAGTTACTTATATATTTTTTCGATATTCATACGCAATTCCACATGTTCAATAACATAAACGGTACCAACTTGTCTGCTCCAGATGCGCATTTCGACAATCAATGTCTCTTCAGTGATGCTCGAGGTCAAAATATTTGAAAATCCAAAGCTTATTAAAAATATGAAGAGCTATAAACAAAAAAGGACCAAAAAGTATATCCAAAGCTAGGCAAGGAATCAGAGCTTTGCATGAGGGAGATACATTCCTTAATTTAAATAATTTCCAAAATTTTGTAACAGCAAATTTTAATAATATAAAATACGTATTCAAATTGCTCGCAAAATTTCAAATAAATCCGTGAGATTGCCCATTTACGTGCCTGTTACCTTACATTGTCCTTCATAATTTAAACTGAAACTAAGAAAAAATAAGAAAATACTCGGATGTATTTATAAATGTCTTTGTGAATTGTCCTTTATGAGGGGCTGTATCGGGATTTTTCAGAATAGAAAATAATAGGCAAAAAAAATTTAAAATGAAGAAAAATGGTCTAAAAATTATAGAAATAGAGAATAATGGGGTGTTCAAATATAGAGAATAACTGGCGAAAAAAATACGAAAATTACACAAAAATTACAACGAAAATGGAGACCTCCACCCCCTTATTAAAATAACTTTTTAAATTTACAAAAATGAAATAAGACCCAAAATAAAATGGTTGCTCATTACACCGGAATGAATTGTAATATTCTATATATATCTTTATTCTCGTAAACCAAAATACATCTACAAATACATTAGCTTACATAGTATAAAATATAGATACAAATATAAAGTAGAGACATAAAGTGGTTACTCAGGAGATTCCAGGCATTCAATAATTATTCGTATAAATTTGCACCACTTTTTTTTTAGTTCAGACGGGTTGCTGTTATTCATAAGATCTTGATTTTTATTCAAATATTTGGTCTGTTTATACAATAATGCTTTAAAAGCGTTTGTCTACTTTCGGGTATTGCCGAACTTTTCAAAATAGAATGAAACTCGTCACCAATATTACCGCAATTACATAAAGAACAAATACGGTTTTCCCACTGAATAGTTTGCCATCTACCAATGCGACAGCAAAATTCCTTCACCTGATAACATGATCAAGTTGATGGATAGCTTCAAATAGAGATAAACACTTTGATATTGAAAAAGACAAGAACACAAAATATACTCTCCTTTTCATAAACGAGAAATGAACAACACAATAGTTGGGGTTTGAAGAGTTCAAACTTTCATTATATCTGTAAGAAATAAAAAGAAAGTTTGATTAAAATCAACACAAAGAGGCATAACTACAGTACCAATTATTAAAATCAAATGTGGTAAATACTTTTTTCCCTTCAAAATAGTGACTTTTGTGCTATTCTTTTAAAATACTCTCAAAAATGTTTGTGTTTGAAACTGAATGATCAATTATGTTTTTAATATTGCAGGTAGTATAACAACATCTGACACCCAAGAATGTACAACATATATCGTTAACTGTCATAACATAAACTATGACAATTTAAATGGTACAAACAACAAAACAAACCACAACCACGACTGCATGTGTTGTCCTATATCTTTTGACGTTTCAAACCAAAAGTTAACAAGCGAAAGAGATGGATGGAAATATGGATATTTGCGAAATTGTGAAAGTCACGATAACTACACAGAAAGCAATGACATCAAATGGATATATGGATATCTGAAGGATTGCAATAACGCAAAGAATAGCAATATAGTCAATTGTAGCTATTTTGAAAGTTGTTGCTATAGTTTAAGTTATTTGTCTAATTGCTTTAACTATTCGACAATCGAATGCAGTAAACAGATCCTTGCCAATTGTTCATTTGTAGGTTCTGCGTCTTATCAACAGAATACAAGCGAAAATTCAACAGCTTTTGTTACAACGGATGATGATGGTTGGATTTACACGTATTACAACTTTAGTTCTTATGAATGCCTCAGTCAATGTAATATTAGCCTAAATTGTTCCAAAAAGGGTTGTGGTTATTGTGTTGGATGCTGTACGTTGATTCATTGCTGCGAATGTGACAAGGACTTTATCACAACGGAGTCTTCGACCACTGAACAAATGAGCCCCGTTCTAACAACAGAACAAAACATGAAATCAACAACAAGTACACCAAGCATAGCAACACTATCAACAAAGAAAATAACGTCGTCGGCAATCACAACAGAAACTTCTACAAAGGAAACAACGACAGTAACAACTGCAAATCCAACAACGACAGAAATTCCAATTTCAATAACGATACAAAATACATTTCGAACGACAAAAACCTTAATTCCTGCAACAGATACCACAATTCTAACGACACACACTACAACAGAAACTTCGACAACCATAATAACGACAGAGCCAAAAACGACAGAAATTACACCATCAAATTCAATCGAAACTACAACTCCAACAATACCCACTACGCCTCTTCCTCATCACGATTATCAACATTTTGCCTGCATTAATGGCTGTTCATGTACTATGAAAAATTATAGACATGAAAATGACAATAGCACAGACCATCCCAATTGTTACATGTATTGTCCCGTTTGTTGCAAAAGAGCAGAAAAAAATGTTACAAATGACAATGATGACTGGAATTATGGATATTCGAAAGAATGTTTAGGTCAGAACGATAGGACAATCAATGGAGATCTAGATCCAAGGACGTACAGTACTATCAGAGCTAAGAACTGTTCTTCTATTTCTTGTCTACCATGTTGCCACAATAGTACAATTGGCTGTCAGATTAATTGCACTTGTAACAGTTCTTGTCACTATGACAGTAACTTCTTCAATTCAGCCAGAATTGAGGATAACATGACTTCTGTAAACTGTTCACGCCAATGCTCTTCATCATGTTGTTGTCATTGTCAAGCTTGCAATTCTACAGATATGTCTTCTACTGAAGATGACTGGATATATTCAAACAACAGTGGTCACGAATGTTTCCATCCATGTAATTCGACCATACAAAGCAACGAACACTGTTCTCATATCAATTTTTCATGCTTTTTATGGATTTGCTGCAGCGAATGTGAAAATCAAACAATCACTACTGATTCACCAACAACTGACCAGACTACTTCAATTCAATCGACGACCGACATCACAACGGAAACGACTATGGCGACATCAGGGCAAACAACAGAGTCTACACTATTGTCAACCACCATGGAAACTACACAAACCAAAACGACAACTGAAACTTCGATTCAAACGGCAGAAACTACAACCGATCAAAGTACAACAGATACTTCGACGAAAGAATTAACGACAGTAACTCAATCAGAACCAACAACGACAGAAACTTCAGTTCAAACGACAATAACCTCAATTCCAGCAACAGAAACCACAATAACAGCGACACAAACTACAACTCATCAAAGTACAACTGAAACTTCGCCGAAAGAAACAACGACAATAACTCATTTAGAACCAACAACGACAGAAACTTCAGTTCCTACGACAGAAACCTCAATTCCAGCAACAGAAACCACAATTACAACGACACAAGCTACAACTGATCAAATGACAACAGAAACTTCTCCGAAAGAAACAACGACAATAACTCCTTCAGAACCAACAATGACAGAAACTCCAGTTCAAACGACAATAACCTCAATTCAAGCAACAGAAACCACAATTACAACGACACAAACTACAACTGATGAAAGTACAACAGAAACTTCGCCAAAGGAAACAACGCCAGTTACTTCTTCACAGCCAACAACGACAGAAATTGCATCATCAACAGCAATAGAAACTACAACTTCAACGATACCTACTACGTCTTCTCATCCAACCGATTGTTCACAATTTGCCTGCATCTGTTGCTGTCCCTTTACTATTGACAATCATACATATGAAAATGACAATACTACAGACCATCCCAATGGTTACATTTACTGTCCTGTTTTTTGCGAAAGAGCAAAACAAAATGTTACAAATGACGATGATGACTGGATATATGGATATGCCAAAAAATGCCTATGTCAGAAAAATGGGACAGCCGATGACCATCTAGATTTGTGGACGTATAGTTATATCAGTGCTAAGAACTGTTCTTCTATATCTTGTCTACCATGTTGCAATAATGGTACCGACAACTATGAGATGAATTGCATTTGTCACAGTTCTTGTCACTATTGCAGTAACGTTTTCAACTGCTGTGATTATTCAACCAGTATCAATGATAAAACTGCACTTGTTAACTGTTCATGCCGATGCTCCTCATCATGTTGTTGTCAATGTCGGGGTGGAAAATCTACAGATGTGTCTTCTACTGAAGATGACTGGACATATTCAAACAACAGTGGTCACGAATGTTTCCATTTATGTAATACGACCATACAAAGCAACGAACACTGTTCTCATATCAATTTGTCATGCTGTTTATGGATTTGCTGCAGCGAATGTGAAAATCAAACAATCACTACTGATTCACCAATAACTGACCAAACTACTTCAATTCAATCGACGACCGACATCACAACGGAAACGACTATGGAGACATCAGTCCAAACAACAGAGTCTACACTATTGCCAACCACCATAGAAACTACACAAACCAAAACAACAACAGAAACTTCGATTCTAACGACAGAAACTACAACAGATCAAAGTACAACAGAAACTTCTCTGAAAGAAACGATGACATTAACACCTTCAGAACCAACAACGATTAAAACTTCAGTTCGAACGACAATAACCTCAATTCCAGCAACAGAAACCACAATTACAACGACACAAGCTACAACTGATCAAAGTACAACAGAAACTTCTCCGAAAGAAACAACGACAATAACTCCTTCAGAACCAACAACGACAGAAACTTCAGTTCAAACGACAATTACCTCAATTCCAGCAACAGAAACCACAATTACAACGACACAAACTACAACTGATCAAAGTACAACAGAAACTTCGCCAAAGGAAACAACGCCAGTTACTTCTTCACAGCCAACAACAACAGAAATTGCATCATCAACAGCAATAGAAACTACAACTTCAACGATACCTACTACGTCTTCTCATCCAACCGATTGTTCACATTTTGCCTGCATCTGTTGCTGTCCCTTTACTATTGACAATCATACATATGAGAATGACAATACTACAGACCATCCCAATGGTTACATTTACTGTGCTGTTTGTAGCGAAAGAGCAAAACAAAATGTTACAAATGACGATGATAACTGGATATATGGATATGCGAAAAAATGCCTATGTCAGAAAAATGGGACAATCGATGGCCATCTAGATCTGTGGACGTATAGTTATATCAGTGCTAAGAACTGTTCTTCCACTTCTTGTCTACCATGTTGCAATAATGGTACCGACAGCTATGAGATGAATTGCATTTGTCACAGTTCTTGTCACTATTGCAGTAACGTTTTCAACTGCTGTGATTATTCAACCAGTATCAATGATAAAACGGCACTTGTTAACTGTTCACGCCGATGCTCCTCATCATGTTGTTGTCATTGTCTGGGTGGAAAATCTACAGATGTGTCTTCTACTGAAGATGACTGGACATATTCAAACAACAGTGGTCACGAATGTTTCCATCCATGTAATACGACCATACAAAGCAACGAACACTGTTCTCATATCAATTTGTCATGCTGTTTATGGATTTGCTGCAGCGAATGTGAAAATCAAACAATCACTACTGATTCACCAACAACTGACCAAACTACTTCAATTCAATCGACGACCCACATCACAACGGAAACGACTATGGAGACATCAGTCAAAACAACAGAGTCTACACTATTGCCAACCACCATGGAAACTACACAAACCAAAACAACAACAGAAACTTCGATTCAAACGACAGAAACTACAACAGATCAAAGTACAACAGAAACTTCTCTGAAAGAAACGACGACATTAACACCTTCAGAACCAACAACGACTGAAACATCAGTTCGAACGACAGAAACCTCAATTCCAGCAACAGAAACCACAATTAGAACGACACAAGCTACAACTGATCAAAGTACAACAGAAACTTCGCCGAAAGAAACAACGACAATAACTCCTTTAGAACCAACAACGACAGAAACTTCAGTTCCTACGACAGAAACCTCAATTCCAGCAACAGAAACCACAATTACAACGACACAAGCTACAACTGATCAAAGTACAACAGAAACTTCTCCGAAAGAAACAACGACAATAACTCCTTCAGAACCAACAACGACAGAAACTTCAGTTCAAACGACAATTAACTCAATTCCAGCAACAGAAACCACAATTACAACGACACAAACTACAACTGATCAAAGTACAACAGAAACTTCGCCAAAAGAAACAACGCCAGTTACTTCTTCACAGCCAACAACGACAGAAATTGCATCATCAACAGCAATAGAAACTACAACTTCAACGATACTTACTACGTCTTCTCATCCAACCGATTGTTCACATTTTGCCTGCATCTGTTGCTGTCCCTTTACTATTGACAATCATACATATGAGAATGACAATACTACAGACCATCCCAATGGTTACATTTACTGTGCTGTTTGTAGCGAAAGAGCAAAACAAAATGTTACAAATGACGATGATAACTGGATATATGGATATGCGAAAAAATGCCTATGTCAGAAAAATGGGACAATCGATGGCCATCTAGATCTGTGGACGTATAGTTATATCAGTGCTAAGAACTGTTCTTCTACTTCTTGTCTACCATGTTGCAATAATGGTACCGACAGCTATGAGATGAATTGCATTTGTCACAGTTCTTGTCACTATTGCAGTAACGTTTTCAACTGCTGTGATTATTCAACCAGTATCAATGATAAAACGGCACTTGTTAACTGTTCACGCCGATGCTCCTCATCATGTTGTTGTCATTGTCTAGGTGGAAAATCTACAGATGTGTCTTCTACTGAAGATGACTGGACATATTCAAACAACAGTGGTCACGAATGTTTCCATCCATGTAATACGACCATACAAAGCAACGAACACTGTTCTCATGTCAATTTGTCATGCTGTTTATGGATTTGCTGCAGCGAATGTGAAAATCAAACAATCACTACTGATTCACCAACAACTGACCAAACTACTTCAATTCAATCGACGACCGACATCACAACGGAAACGACTATGGAGACATCAGTCCAAACAACAGAGTCTACACTATTGTCAACCACCATGGAAACTACACAAACCAAAACAACAACTGAAACTACAACAGATCAAAGTACAACAGAAACTTCTCTGAAAGAAACAACAACAGTAACACCTTCAGAACCAACAACGACTGAAACTTTAGTTCGAACGACAGAAACCTCAATTCCAGCAACAGAAACCACAATTAGAACGACACAAGCTACAACTGATCAAAGTACAACAGAAACTTCGCCGAAAGAAACAATGACAATACCTCCTTTAGAACCAACAACGACAGAAACTTCAGTTCCTACGACAGAAACCTCAATTCCAGCAACAGAAACCACAATTACAACGACACAAGCTACAACTGATCAAAGTACAACAGAAACTTCTCCGAAAGAAACAACGACAATAACTCCTTCAGAACCAACAACGACAGAAACTTCAGTTCAAACGACAATAACCTCAATTCCAGCAACAGAAACCACAATTACAACGACAAAAACTACAACTGATCAAAGTACAACAGAAACTTCGCCAAAGGAAACAACGCCAGTTACTTCTTCACAGCCAACAACGACAGAAATTGCATCATCAACAGCAATAGAAACTACAACTTCAACGATACCTACTACGTCTTCTCATCCAACCGATTGTTCACATTTTGCCTGCATCTGCTGCTGTCCCTTTACTATTGACAATCATACATATGAAAATGACAATACTACAGACCATCCCAATGGTTACATTTACTGTCCTGTTTGTTGCGAAATAGCAAAACAAAATGTTACAAATGACGATGATAACTGGATATACGGATATGCGAAAAAATGCCTATGTCAGAAAAATGGGACAATCGATGGCCATCTAGATTTGTGGACGTATAGTTATATCAGTGCTAAGAACTGTTCTTCTACTTCTTGTCTACCATGTTGCAATAATGGTACCGACAGCTATGAGATGAATTGCATTTGTCACAGTTCTTGTCACTATTGCAGTAACGTTTTCAACTGCTGTGATTATTCAACCAGTATCAATGATAAAACGGCACTTGTTAACTGTTCACGCCGATGCTCCTCGTCATGTTGTTGTCATTGTCTGGGTGGAAAATCTACAGATGTGTCTTCTACTGAAGATGAATGGACATATTCAAACAACAGTGGTCACGAATGTTTCCATCCATGTAATACGACCATACAAAGCAACGAACACTGTTCTCATATCAATTTGTCATGCTGTTTATGGATTTGCTGCAGCGAATGTGAAAATCAAACAATCACTACTGATTCACCAACAACTGACCAAACTACTTCAATTCAATCGACGACCGACATCACAACGGAAACGACTATGGAGGCATCAGTCCAAACGACAGAGTCTACACTATTGTCAACCGCCATGGAAACTACACAAATCAAAACAACAACTGAAACTTCGATTCAAACGACAGAAACTACAACAGATCAAAGTACAACAGAAACTTCTCTGAAAGAAACAACGACACTAACACCTTCAGAACCAACAACGACTGAAACTTCAGTTCGAACGACAGAAACCTCAATTCCAGCAACAGAAACCACAATTAGAACGACACAAGCTACAACTGATCAAAGTACAACAGAAACTTCGCCGAAAGAAACAATGACAATACCTCCTTTAGAACCAACAACGACAGAAACTTCAGTTCCTACGACAGAAACCTCAATTCCAGCAACAGAAACCACAATTACAACGACACAAGCTACAACTGATCAAAGTACAACAGAAACTTCTCCGAAAGAAACAACGACAATAACTCCTTCAGAACCAACAACGACAGAAACTTCAGTTCAAACGACAATAACCTCAATTCCAGCAACAGAAACCACAATTACAACGACAAAAACTACAACTGATCAAAGTACAACAGAAACTTCGCCAAAGGAAACAACGCCAGTTACTTCTTCACAGCCAACAACGACAGAAATTGCATCATCAACAGCAATAGAAACTACAACTTCAACGATACCTACTACGTCTTCTCATCCAACCGATTGTTCACATTTTGCCTGCATCTGCTGCTGTCCCTTTACTATTGACAATCATACATATGAAAATGACAATACTACAGACCATCCCAATGGTTACATTTACTGTCCTGTTTGTTGCGAAATAGCAAAACAAAATGTTACAAATGACGATGATAACTGGATATATGGATATGCGAAAAAATGCCTATGTCAGAAAAATGGGACAATCGATGGCCATCTAGATTTGTGGACGTATAGTTATATCAGTGCTAAGAACTGTTCTTCTACTTCTTGTCTACCATGTTGCAATAATGGTACCGACAGCTATGAGATGAATTGCATTTGTCACAGTTCTTGTCACTATTGCAGTAACGTTTTCAACTGCTGTGATTATTCAACCAGTATCAATGATAAAACGGCACTTGTTAACTGTTCACGCCGATGCTCCTCGTCATGTTGTTGTCATTGTCTGGGTGGAAAATCTACAGATGTGTCTTCTACTGAAGATGAATGGACATATTCAAACAACAGTGGTCACGAATGTTTCCATCCATGTAATACGACCATACAAAGCAACGAACACTGTTCTCATATCAATTTGTCATGCTGTTTATGGATTTGCTGCAGCGAATGTGAAAATCAAACAATCACTACTGATTCACCAACAACTGACCAAACTACTTCAATTCAATCGACGACCGACATCACAACGGAAACGACTATGGAGGCATCAGTCCAAACGACAGAGTCTACACTATTGTCAACCGCCATGGAAACTACACAAATCAAAACAACAACTGAAACTTCGATTCAAACGACAGAAACTACAACAGATCAAAGTACAACAGAAACTTCTCTGAAAGAAACAACGACAGTAACACCTTCAGAACCAACAACGACTGAAACTTCAGTTAGAACGACAGAAACCTCAATTCCAGCAACAAAAACCACAATTAGAACGACACAAGCTACAACTGATCAAAGTACAACAGAAACTTCGCCGAAAGAAACAACGACAATAACTCCTTTAGAACCAACAACGACAGAAACTTCAGTTCCTACGACAGAAACCTCAATTCCAGCAACAGAAACCACAATTACAACGACACAAGCTACAACTGATCAAAGTACAACAGAAACTTCGCCGAAAGAAACAACGACAATAACTCCTTCAGAACCAACAACGACAGAAACTTCAGTTCAAACGACAATAACCTCAATTCCAGCAACAGAAACCACAATTACAACGATAGAAACTACAACTGATCAAAGTACAACAGAAACTTCGCCAAAGGAAACAACGCCAGTTACTTCTTCACAGCCAACAACGACAAAAATTGCATCATCAACAGCAATAGAAACTACAACTTCAACGATACCTACTACGTCTTCTCATCCAACCGATTGTTCACATTTTGCCTGCATCTGTTGCTGTCCCTTTACTATTGACAATTATACATATGAAAATGACAATACTACAGACCATCCAAGTGGTTACAATTACTGTCCTGTTTGTTGCGAAAGAGCAAACCAAAATGTTACAAATGACGATGATGACTGGATATATGGATATGCGAAAAAATGCCCATGTCAGAAAAATGGGACAATCGATGGCCATCTAGATTTGTGGACGTATAGTTATATCAGTGCTAAGAACTGTTCTTCTACTTCTTGTCTACCATGTTGCAATAATGGTACCGACAGCTATGAGATGAATTGCATTTGTCACAGTTCTTGTCACTATTGCAGTAACGTTTTCAACTGCTGTGATTATTCAACCAGTATCAATGATAAAACGGCACTTGTTAACTGTTCACGCCGATGCTCCTCGTCATGTTGTTGTCATTGTCTGTGTGGAAAATCTACAGATGTGTCTTCTACTGAAGATGACTGGACATATTCAAACAACAGTGATCACGAATGTTTCCATCCATGTAATACGACCATACAAAGCAACGAACACTGTTTTCATATCAATTTGTCATGCTGTTTATGGATTTGCTGCAGCGAATGTGAAAATCAAACAATCACTACGGATTCACCAACAACTGACCAAACTACTTCAATTCAATCGACGACCGACATCACAACGGAAACGACTATGGAGGCATCAGTCCAAAGAACAGAGTCTACACTATTGTCAACCACCATGGAAACTACACAAATCAAAACAACAACTGAAACTTCGATTCAAACGACAGAAACTACAACAGATCAAAGTACAACAGAAACTTCTCTGAAAGAAACAACGACAGTAACACCTTCAGAACAAACAACGACTGAAACTTCAGTTCGGACGACAAAAACCTCAATTCCAGCAACAGAAACCACAATTAGAACGATACAAGCTACAACTGATCAAAGTACAACAGAAACTTCGCCGAAAGAAACAACGACAATAACTCCTTCAAAACCAACAACGACAGAAACTTCAGTTCCTACGACAAATACCTCATTTCCAGCAACAGAAACCACAATTACAATGACACAAGCTACAACTGGTCAAAGTACAAAAGAAACTTCTCCAAAAGAAACAACGACAATAACTCCTTCAGAACCAACAACGACAGAAACTTCAGTTCAAACGACAAAAACCTCAATTCCAGCAACAGAAACCACAATTACAACGACACAAACTACAACTGATCAAAGTACAACAGAAACTTCGCCAAAGGAAACAACTCCAGTTACTTCTTCACAGCCAACAACGACAGAAATTGCATCATCAACAGCAATAGAAACTACAACTTCAACGATACCTACTACGTCTTCTCATCCAACCGATTGTTCACATTTTGCCTGCATCTGTTGCTGTCTCTTTACTATTGACAGTCATACATATAAACATGACAATACTACAGACCATCCAAATGGTTACATTTACTGTCCTGTTTGTTGCGAAAGAGCAAACCAAAATGTTACAAATGACGATGATGACTGGATATATGGATATGCGAAAAAATGCCTATGTCAGAAAAATGAGACAATCGATGGCCATCTAGATCTGTGGACGTATAGTTATATCAGTGCTAAGAACTGTTCTTCTACTTCTTGTCTACCATGTTGCAATAATGGTACCGACAGCTATGAGATGAATTGCATTTGTCACAGTTCTCGTCACTTTTACAGTAACGTTTTCAACTGTTGTGATTATTCAACCAATATCAATGATAAAACAGCACTTGTTAACTGTTCACGCCGATGCTCCTCATCATGTTGTTGTCATTGTCTGGGTGGAAAATCTACAGATGTGTCTTCTACTGAAGATGACTGGACATATTCAAATAACAGTGGTCACGAATGTTTCCATCCATGTAATACGACCATACAAAGCAACGAACACTGTTCTCATATCAATTTGTCATGCTGTTTATGGATTTGCTGCAGCGAATGTGAAAATCAAACAATCACTACGGATTCACCAACAACTGACCAAACTACTTCAATTCAATCGACGACCGAGATCACAACGGTAACGACAATGGAGACATCAGTCCAAACAACAGAGTCTACACTATTGTCAACCACCATGGAAACTACACAAACCAAAACAACAGAAACTTCGATTCAAACGACAGAAACTACAACAGATCAAAGTACAACAGAAACTTCTCTGAAAGAAACAACGACAGTAACACCTTCAGAACCAACAACGACAGAAACTTCAGTTCGAACGACAGAAACCTCAATTCCAGCAACAGAAACCACAATTAAAACGACAGAAGCTACAACTGATCAAAGTACAACAGAAACTTCGCCGAAAGAAACAACGACAATAACTCCCTCAGAACCAACAACGACAGAAACTTCTATTGGCACGACAGAAACCTCAATTCCAGCAACAGAAACCACAACTACAACGACACAAGCTACAACTCATCAAAGTACAACAGAAACTTCGCCGAAAGAAACAACGACAATAATTCCCTCAGAACTAACAACGACAGAAACTTCGCCGAAAGAAACAACGACAGTACCTCTCTCAGAACCAACAATGACAGAAACTTCAGTTCCTACGACAGAAATCTCAATTCCAGCAACAGAAACCACAATTACAACGACACAAGCTACAACTGATCAAAGTACAACAGAAACTTCTCCGAAAGAAACAACGACAATAACTCCTTCAGAACCAACAACGACAGAAACTTCAGTTCAAAGGACAATAACCTCAATTCCAGCAATAGAAACCACAATTACAACGTCCCATACTACAACAGAAACTTCGCCGATAGAAACAACGACAAAAACTTCATTTCGAACGACAGCAACCTCAATTTCGGCAACAGAAACCACAATTACAACGACACAAGCTACAACTCATCAAAGTACAACAGAAACATCGCCGAAAGAAACAACGACAATAATTCCCTCAGAACTAACAACGACAGAAACTTCGCCGAAAGAAAAAACGACAGTACCTTTCTCAGAACCAACAACGACAGAAAGTTCAGTTCCTACGACAGAAACCTCAATTCCAGCAACAGAAACCACAATGACAATGACACAAGCTACAACTGATCAAAGTACAACAGAAACGTCTCCGATAGAAACAACAACAGTAACTCCATCAGAACCAAGAACGACAGAAATTACATCATCAACAGCAATAAAAACTACAACTGTCCAAAGTACAACAGCACCTTCACCAAAAGAAATAACTACAGTAACTTTTACTGTGCCAATAACGCCAGAAACTACAACTGATCAAAGTACAACAGAACATTTGCCGAAAGAAACAACGACAGTGACGTTTTCAGAGTCAACTACGACAGAAACTTCAACTGATCAAAGTACAACAGAAACTTCGCCAAAAGAAACAACTACAGTAACGTCTTCAGAGCCAACAACGTCAGAAACTACAACTGATCAAAGTACAACAGAAACTCCGCTGAGAGAAACAACGACAGTAACGTCTTTAGAGCCAACAACGTCAGAATCTACAACTGATCAAAGTACAACAGAAACTCCGCTGAAAGAAAAAACGACAGTAACGTCTTCAGAGTCAACTATGGCAGAAACTACAACTACATCTCAATCAGAAACAGAAACTTTTGTTATAAGTAAGTTATTTTATCGATATTTGAAAAAGCAGAACGTCTACCAATCGAAATATATCTTGACTAATATAATGGTAAGATTAATCGAAACGAGTTATTTATGAGTTGCCATTATTAAAATTGTAAGTGAATTTGGATTTGAATTATTTTTTTCTTTATTATTAAGGATGTACTCAGTTCAGGTTTATGAATTGTTGTCAAATATTCGGACTCTTTGAGTTTTTTCCTACAATAACAGGGTAAAATATTTTGCCCAATATGACCCACTTTTCTTTTCATAGAAGACTTCAACCGCTCATAAAAAGGTCATTACCAAATTTAAGCAGATTCTAGATTTTTTTCTTACGATATGAGACACAAACAATGCCAAAGTAAATATAAGGTAAAAGTCTGAGTCAGCCTTTTCCCGTCATTGTTTAAAAATCAAATATCTCATAAAGGAGTTCCATAAATTATCAATATGTTTAGCCTATTTTGTTCCTTAACTAATGCTCTTCTGACTTATAGTATCAATTTTAAATTCTAGATTTTTTTTAATTTCACTACATCCTTAAATCCTAGTTAATTTTTAATTAAAAAAGTGCAAGCTGCAATTAAAGTGTTCCTATGAACATAGATGTGATGATTACTAAAGACTACAATAAATATACCATTTAGAAAAAAAAACGAAATAATTTTTACATCCAAACTGAACATCGTTTAAGAAATAAGATTTGTTCATTGGCATTTAATGTGTCCGTGGTTGATCTAATGGAAAATCTTAGACATTTACAACAGATGCATGAAATTATCCTTCTACTTAGATATTATTATGACTGTACTTTCTTCCGTACATTTTATCAGATTAAAAAGATTAATAGTGTACCATATTTTTTTCAAAATATTTAAGGCTAAGACCGCTATTGTGATATTTTATTGTTATCTTTTTTCAGTTGTCATTATAATCGTTTGTATTATTGGATTCATAGCTGGGACTGTTTGCATAGTTTTCGTGTATTGCTACATCATAAAGAATAGGGCACTTGCTAAGGTGAGTAAAATAGGCCATGTTTGCACCAGAAATCTTACTGAATAGTTATATTCTTCATTTGCTAATGGAAAGTAAGGAGCGTTGGGTAAGGTCGGCAAACTTGCTGTTCGTGATGACTCTTTTACATTTAAATTAGTCAAAAGGTATTTGATGGTCATATATGCAAGGAACATGTCATTAGCCAATCGAAATCCTAGAAATATACTAAGCCGGGGATAATGTACTTTATTTATACGTACGTCGACGGACTTATAACTATCAATTATTAAATTCTGATATTTTTGTAAATATAGATTTTAAGATGATTTTGTCAGATAATGGTAATAGTTGAAATAACGCAGTTCTTGTGAAAATTTGCTTGATATTGAGTGGATAATTCGACGAAGCTAATTTAAACGTGATCATGTTTTACTTTTTTATCTGGGGTTCAAGATTTAAATAGATTTTATACTATACAGGCAAATACTTAATTTGTCGCCTGCTCCCGATAAAAAGACGACCAATATCAAAATATTTATTCTCTCCACACAAAAGAAATGCAATGAAAGGTTACCTATAGTGATTGGTATTCGTTGATCCTATTTATCTATTACTTTACTTCATTTAGTCATCTGCAAATCCACGTATATTACCATTATATTTCCTATTTAATCCAAATATGTTTACCAATCTGAAACTGAAATTAATATTCATGTAAATACAATCTGTTATAGCTGTTATCAATAGTTTTAATTTTATTTGTAGGTTGCTCCTGCAGGTCCATTGAGAGCGTTTTAGGACTTACTTTGACGATGCAAAATACCGGTATTCAAACAAACAAAGACTTTTTTTTTATTTTTTTATCTACCATGCCTCATTTAAGTGTCAACCTTGTCCGTCTGTACGTCCGTATGTACGTCCCAAAATTAATTTCCGTTCTGTAACTTATATAATTTGCATCAACCAAATGATATGAAACTTATACACAATGTTTATTACCACAAAACACAGATCAAATTTGAATTTGGGTGGCGTCACTTTAACCGTTCTAAAGTTATGCCTCTTTACAAATGGAAAAAATACTGAATTTTTCGTATCCGTTCTCTAACTTTAGTTTGCCTCAACCAAATGTTATGAAACTTATACAAAATGCTTATTACCACAAACTCAGATTAAATTAGAATTTTGGTGGCGTCACTTATACCGTTCTAGAGTAATGCCCCTTTATATTTGGAAAAAATGCTGAATTTTTCGTTTCCGTTCTCTAACTTCAGTGTACCTCAACCAATTGTTATGAAATTAATATCCAAAAAATTAAAAAACAATAATATACACAATGATTATTACAACGAAACTTAGATCAAGTTTGAATTTGGATGGCGTCACTTTTACGGTTCTCTAGTTATGTTCCCTTATAACGTTATATGCAAGCATCTATGTCCCATGGACACATTGTTCATTTTTTTATTATCATTCAACGCAGTTATGAAACGTTTTATATATATGCAGAAGTTCTGTGGTAACATTTTATTGAAATCTATAAATCAGGTCAATCCTTTCTCATTTGCTATTTATAGAAATGTATTGGCCAAAACTTCATCTTTCGATTTATCGGATTCCGGTTTCGGCATTTGTTATTTTTTTCCTTTGTAGCTGGCAGTTGTATGATCAAAAGTTGGGGTATATCAGTTATGTCTACATACTTTTTTCGATACTTGATTTATTAACGGCTGCTGAACATCGGGTGACAAATATAACATGCCCATCTCTGACAATAATAAAGTGATATGAATATGAAAACATATACAGGTTAATTCTGAGCGTGACACATACACTTGAACGATTGGTACATCCAAAACGAATTCGGAGACCGCCTATGAATTTTATATCACTTTATATAATACAAAGGAAATTTTAGTAAAAAAAATGTATAAAGTTTAAAGACATGTTCTTTATTGTTATTGTTCACCTCTAGATGTCTTTTTGCTATTAGTTTCGTTGGGTTGCTCTCGTATGGACGTTCATCCCACATCTATAGTTTTGTCGCCCTAATCGGACACATTTTTTTAATCATTTTTCCTAAATCCTGTGTGTTTGGTCGAAAGAGAAAGCAAGCAAATCCATATTTTCAAGTAAACTGTTTGAGTTCAAATGACGTGGATGTGTACTTGTTTGACATAACGGATGTATTTTTCTCCTCATCATATTCATGCTAAACCCAATTTTCATAAGAAAAGATAAGAAAAAGTTGCATTTGGTCCTTAACAATGAGAGCATACTCACAACATGAGACAATCCAAGGGAAACCCAAATCATATGCACTTTAAGTATGTGCCCGTTAATATATTGATTGTTTGTTTGCTGTTTGATTAATGTCCATTGGAAAACATTACATGCATATTCATGACTACTCAGCAATTTCGCCATTACAAAACAAGTGCAAATAACTCATCCTAGATACCAGGATTGTACGACAGACGCGCGTTTCGTCTTTAAAAGACTCATCAGTGACGCTCGAATCAAAAAAAGATAAAAAGGCCAAATAAAGTACAAAGAATTGATTGAAACTGGTTCGAGAATTTAAACTGAATCCAAAAGTAAGAAAAAACATGATATTTCTGCTAAAAAAATAATTCAGAAGACTTTTTTCAACCGTTCTTTAAATCCTAATTTTAGAAGCTTGTAAGGTACAATTTTGGAATACTAGACTTTTCACTACGCTTTTGTTTCAAACAACAATGACCATTATAGAAAATGAAGTCAAACACTTATCCACATTGAACAGCAAATAAATAATTTCTACCAAGGGTGCAAACAAACACTAGACGGGAGACGGATTTATAAAAGTTTTTCCAAACTTGTTTCCGAATCCCATATTTGAATTTCATGTAACATATCACTAATTCATTGTTGTAAATTTTCATTAATGAATACTGTTTAAACTAAACAAACACAAGTCGTCAAAAGACAAAAAGACAGATTATACCATGACCAAAAACAAATAGACAAACAGACAAACAGCAGTCCACAAAACAATACACAGAAAACTGTGTTTGAGCAACAATACTAAATTCTGTTCACAAAAAACATGAAAACATAATTCTGTAAAACTATGTTTTATCTGTCATACAAACTAATTAACTTCGGTTCATTGTGTCCTTTTATTCAAAATTTAACAGAAAAATGTTGTAGAGATTGATATTTAATGCATAAATTCCAAATTTTATAGAAAAAGAACCACAAATAGATGAGTATTTAAACAATGTTTAGGCAAGTGTCGGTTTTTCTTTGATATTGCCAAAAACAAAAAAATCAGTGAATCGATTGACACGTGCCAACTTACATAGCAACTGATTAAACAATCATAATCTTTTTATTTTAAGTAATTAACAGTTGTATCAAAAAGACTAGTGTTGAATATGTATAATTAAAAGGACAAATCATATTGCTTTTGTTTTATTTATCTTCCGACAAAGTTATTTGCCATAGGTGCACGGCTTTGATGTGCATCAACTAATAAGTAAGAGTGTGGTCAACTTGTTAAAATGTGTATGTAAGAGGTATCAATGCAAGACAAAAGGGATAGATATGAATGAGTTTTTTTTCTACGACTAATATTGATCACAGCTCACTTCTTGGACAAATCATTATGGAATTCCCTGATGAATTGAACTCTTTATTAGCAGCCATGAACGTGTCTGGAAAAGAACCTGTCTGGAAATTTTCGGCAAGTACTGACCAGGTGACAGTACAGTTAATATGGAACAAGGCTAAGGAACCAGAGGCATCCTCCAGTTAACCCAAGCCGGCCCTGAAAAAGAACAAACCACCATCCACCAGGAGAAGGGACGCCAAGCGTTATGACCTGTGGGTGCAGGCCAAAAGCTCTGCTGCAACATCGGCTGAGGTAATACCACCAACTACCAGCGTAGACTAGAATCATCAAACAGAAGCCAAAACATCGCTAGAGGGAAACAGGGAGATAACACCTACGAAATACCAAGGTGAACCTGAGGGGATCGTCATCAAAACGGACATTGTCATCAGTCCGTTCAACCCCAGGAAGGCATGCCATCGCCAATACTATCTCCACCAAACCAACGACAGAGGCAAGCGAAGGCGGATTGACTACGACGAGGGATTTGACCTAGATGATCCCGAGTTACTCCGGACACCACCACACACATCGCCATTAATAATGCAATCTCCAGAGGCAGTAAAAAGAGCAATATCAATCTTGGAACGGCCAGATACTCCATACCATACTCCTCGATGCAAGGTGAAAGCAAAACGGTCAACAGATCTGTAACCGTACAATAGGTAGATGTAAGTCCGCGATACCCTTCTGGATAGTCCGACTATAAAACCGAAATGATGAGTTTTTTGTTTTTATTTTAATTTCGACATAGATGCGTATAAATACAAATGGTTTCACTAAAAAAATATGAGTAAATTCTGCAAAACTATAAAACATAATGCTTGCTTTTTCACTTTTTATTACTTGCTCCATAGTTATTACGAATTGCGATTTTATAAAATGGAAAAAAATCATGAGGCGTCCTTGGGGTTTATCAAAACCACTAATTTTCAACAAGTTTGATAGCTGTTTACAGAGGCTTCATACGGTACTTATTTTTTGTTTGTAACTGTTCGACATTAATTTGTAAAATCTGAAGGTAAATGAATTAAAAAAAATCATTAATCGAACTTTAATCAAATGAAGTTTCATTTTCAAATATATAAAGGAGACAAATATTTAATTAATCAATAATTTTCAACCGTTTTTTTTGTACATTATTTAGCACATACTTAGAATATAGCAAAGTGCTCTCGACCAATGAAGTTGTAGGATTTGATGCCTCTTAATTGTGAAGAATTAATGTAAATCATGTTTTTAGTAAGGGATTATCCTATTATTTAGGTCTATTTACAGTTCAAAACAAAGAGTTTCTATAAATGAGTTACAACTGCCCCGAAGCACGTTTATCAGATGGAAAGGATCTATCACACAGTGATTAATAGTGACTAAAAGTTGAATTGTGAAACAAACAAAGAACTCAAAATAAGTTGAATTTTACTGGTGCAGTAAAATTGGTACCGTGAATGTTATTATGAAAATATTAATAACTTCAAATTACTAAAAAAGTAAAACTATATCAAAGCAATGCAAAGAAAGAAAAAGAGCTTTAAAATAAAAAAAATAATCTTAATCTTTAGCTTTCAAAAACTTTGATTACTGGATCAGCGGTTGGGAAGAATAATTATTTTCAATATTCTGATAAAATTTAAAAAAACAGGAATTTAATTTAAGTTTTGAACATATTAAAATCTTTTAAAGGCATTTTATTTGAACATTTCCCTGACATAATGAAATAGTATTTGATGTATAAAGCCGGACCAAAATATTGGCTGTGAAATAAAATTTAGTTGTAACTCAAATGTATTAATTGATTTAAACTGTAAATAAAAAAGGATAATTCCTCACTAAAATATTACATGATTTTCATTCATACTCACAATCAGGAAACATGTACAACTCTTACCTTTTCTATGTACTGTTGTGTCACAGCACAATCTATAACGCATTTTTTTTTTAAATATTTCCCAAATGATAAGAAAGTCCTTACATCACTTAAACTAATCCATAAATGACATGCCGTAAAAGGAAGTCATGCATCAATTATAAACATTGCACTGACAATGAAACTACTTCTTGAATACAACCAATCAAGAGATCATTTGAGCCTTGAGCACTTTACAATATTCTAAGTTTGTAAGAGAATGATAATCCCTTACTTCATGATAAGTACTCGCTAACGCTCGTACTTAATCATGAAGAAAGGGATTATCATTCTCTTACAACCTTAGCATAAAATCATGAAGAAAGGGATTATCATTCTCTTACATATACTTACAACTTCTCGTCCAATCAGATTGCTTATATTTGCCTTCTAAGTTTCATAGTACATACTGTTTCCCTGTACTAAGTAACTATGCATGAATAACCTCAAGGATAAGATTTCATTATGTCGTAATCAAGATATTAGAAACAAAATTTGCCACTGGCTATTTTGGAAGCAAATAAAAAAAAAAATTGTAATTAGTTTTCACATTAATTTTTATATATCCTGCTATGGAACGCCGTAACTGTCTTATAGTGTAAATATTTAATGTGTTTTGTCGCTTTGTCTTTATGTCCTGTCATTTTTTCTTTGTGTTATGTGTAAGCGCCTTTATTTCCTGACACAGCATCTCTGTGCTATGTCAAATTTTAAATTATTTGTTTTGTCAAACAATTGTTTGATATGTCATTGCTATTCTTTGTTGTGTGCAATATGCATTACATTATGTTGTAACTACTGTATATTCAGTGAATACCTCTAAACTTTAGGATCAACCACCTTTACGTTCTTTCACAGTTCCTCTATGTTGTATCTTTTCTTCCTTTAAGTAAGTCAGTTAATAATTGCGTCCTGTCTCAAATGTGATTGTTATGTTGAATGTTCTAAACGTTTTGTTTTGATACATCTTTGTTCTATGAAAACCTCATTATATTATATTTTAATGGCTTTATGTTGTGTTTATACATATGTATCTTCTGTGAAAAATATAATATATCATGGTATAGCTTATATGCGTTTTGCCAAACAATTGATACTTTCTGTTAACATTCAATGTGTCATGTGAATCTACTGGTACAGTATGTGCAAACACGTATTACATTATGTGCAAACACCTATTACGTTATGTGCAAATGCCTATTACAGTATGTGCAAACACCTATTACGTTATGTGCAAATACCTATGACATTATGTGCAAACACCTATTATGTTACGTGCAAACACCTTTTACGTTATGTGCAAACACCTATTACGTTAAGTACAAATACATATTACATGATGTGCAAACATCTATTACGTTATGTGCAAACACCTTTTGCATTATGTGCAAACACTTATTACGTTTCGTGCAAACACTTATTACGTTATGTGCAAACACCTATTACGTTATGGTAAACGCCTTTTTAACACAGATTAAAATAAAACGCATCAATGATATATATGTTCCGGACCATGTGAGTATTTGGACCATACGCGTATGGTCATGACCATATGAGTATATACTTATAAGGCTGACCATACGCGTATGGTCCGGGTGATTAACACGACGACGGTTAAAATGTTAAATCAAGCATGTACATAGTAAGACTTAGTCTTTATTTATAAAATACAAACTTCATAAGGTATGATTACGACATGATACGGGAATAAGTATTTTCATGATTAATTGAATAAAGTGACGATGGATAACCCAGTGAATTCAATTTACAAGTTAAAAGTATACTGAACATATTTATCTATGGTCGATTTGTCCTGACGAATGAATTTAGAAGACAGATTCAAGAAATGTTTAAATACAATATTAAACATAAAGTCAAACCCTATATATTAACGGACGCTTTTGATTGACACTATCATGACTACCGACGGCTCTATAAACCAAGATTCAGACAATATGTCACAGAAACAACTCAGTCAGTAACATGTAATGTTTGGGTCTGGTGAACAAAGCTATGCGTACCTGGTTAAAAAAATAGAAAGTTTATCTTTGCTTATTTATTTTCTTATACAATTGTGAAATTACACTGCAATATGTCAAAACGTCTTGGTCCGAGCCCCCTCCTAAATCCAACTGCTTATAGAACCAACAAATGTAGCGCCCTCCCCCTTTTCAATAATTGTGGTTCCGCCACTAGTCATTGACAGAGAAATCATCCATACCTACACCATTGATCGCCTACTTAAATATATATAAAATTGAGAATGGAAATGGGGAATGTGTCAAAGAGACAACAACCCGACCAAAGAGCAGAAAACAGCCTAAGTCCACCAATGGGTCTTCAACACAGCGAGAAAATCCCGCACCCGGAGGCGGGCTTCAGCTGGCCTCTAAAGAAAAATGTGTACTAGTTCAATGAAAATGGACGTCACACTAAACTCCAAAACATATAAATGAACTAAAATTAAAAAACATACAAGACTAACAAAGGCCAGAGGCTCCTGACTTGGGAGAGGCGCAAAAATGCGGCGGGGTTAAACATGGTTTGTGAGATCTCAACCCTTCCCCTATACCTCTAGCCAATGTCGAATAAACAAACACACAGCAATACGCACAGTAGAACTCAGTTGAAAAGAAGTCCGAGTCCGATGTCAGAATAGGTAACAAAAGAAACTATAATAAATATAGAAGCCAAAAAATAGAAAAAATATAAGGATGTTCGCTTCTCAGTTTCAAAATAACAAGCTTTTCATTACCCTCTTATTTATTGATAGGGAACCGATAAAGGAGCAAAAAGATCAAAAAATAATATTGGTCCGTGTGTTTGTTTTCCAGATATTAGCCAATGATATTTTAGCGGGGAAGATGTTCACTCTTCATCATTG